TTTTTTTTTAAAGACAGCTTTTCTGTATAGTCCTGACTATCCTGGAACTCACTCTGCAGACTGGGCTAGCCTCAGTCACAGAGCTCTGATGCCTGCCTCTGGCATGTGCCACCACCTAAGATTGTATTTATTCTTATTTTATGTGTATGAGTGTTTAAGTATCTGTGGAGCATGTGTGTGCATGCTGTGCCCTCTGAGGCCAGAAGAAGGCGTCAGATTCCCCCTGGCATTGGAACTACAGACCATTGTGTGTCACGTCATACACACTAGGAAGCAAACCCTGTTCCTCTGGAAAAGCAGCCAAGGCCCCTAACCACTGAGCCACTGCTCCAGCTCCTCAAGGGCGTTGTTTTAATGATCTCAAGGTATATTATAAACTTGGTTGCAAGGTCCAGCAAAAGTTCAGTTTCTGAAGGCAAGATGTAGTTTTAGAAAAGGCTATCACAGTCGGGCGATGGTGGCGCACGCCTTTAATTCCAGCACTTGGGAGGCAGAGGCAGGCGGATTTCTGAGTTCGAGAGTTCGAGGCCAGCCTGGTCTACAGAGTGAGTTCCAGGACAGCCAGGACTACACAGAGAAACCCTGTCTCGAAAAAACCAAAAAAAAGAAAAGAAAAAGAAAAGGCTATCACAGCCAGACGTGTTGCATATGCCCTTAATCCCAGCACTCAGGAGGCAGAGGCAGGTGGATCTCTTTGAGTTCCAGCCCAGCCTGGTCATCTTTGGCCCTCACTCTGTGCTGCTAAATAAGTCCACTTTTCTCAGCCTCAGTTTCCCCAGCCAGAAGCTAGGTGTCTTTCAATGAATTGTATCCTGCAGGTGGAGAGCCCATGCTACAGATGTGTTACCCACCTGTTCCCCTAACCTCAGGACAGGGGCAGGATGTTTGAACCAGAGGCAGTTTACATGCATAGGGTACTGGTAGGGTCCCGTGCACAGCTCCGCGACCTCCATCACAAGGAAAGTAGGGTGCATCCTCTTGAGTATTCACTGTGTCCATTCAAGGTCCCTCTGCTTAGAGTCCCAGCAGTGAGAGGGCAGCTAAGGAGAGAGGTTGGAAACCTTGGGCCTTTGTCTATCTGTAAAAAGTACCTGTAGTTTTAAAACCTGGCAAACCCAAGGCATAGTAAGGTTGGTTACATTGCTTGCTTGCTTTTGAGACAGTCTCTCTATGAAGTCCTGGAACTCACTTTATAGACTAGGCTGACCTCAAACTCACAGGAGCTGCCTCTGCCTCTGCCTCCCAAGTGCTGGGGCATGAGCCGCCGGGCCCAGGTTTGTTTGTTTGCCTGAAAGTTTGTCTGTGCAGCGGGTGCATGTAGTACCTGAACAGTCCAGAAGAGGGAACTGGACTCCTTGAAACTGAAGTTGCAGCTAAGAGCCACCATGCAAATACCTGGAGTTGTAAATGGGGCCTCTAGAGTCCGGTGGTGGTGGCGCACGCCTTTCCCAGCACTTGGGAGGAAGAGGCAGGCGGATTTCTGAGTTCGAGGCCAGCCTGGTCTACAGAGTGAGTTCCAGGACAGCCAGGACTATACAGAGAAACCCTGTCTCGAAAAAACAAAAAACAAACAAACAAAAAAGTAAATGGGGCCTCTGGTAGTCTAGCCAGTGTGCTTAACTGCTGAGCCATTTCTCATTTGTAGACTTTGTAGCCGAGGGAATTTTGTGCACATGCATTTTTTTTCTTTTACAATTATTTATGGCGTATGCATATGTGGCGTACAAAGGACCTGGCATGTATCTGGTGCACAGAAATACATGTAGATACAATATCCTTATACATGAAACAGAAGAGCACGGCAGTGATGGCGCACACCTTTAATCCCAGCACGCAGGAGGCAGATCTCTGAGTTTGAGGCCAGGCCAGTCTACAGAGCGAGTTCCAGGACAGCCAGGGCTACACAGAGAAACCCTGTCTCGAAAAACAAAACAAAACAAAACAAAACAAAATCAAATATTATAGTAAACACTTTAGTGAGTGCCACATAATTGTGGGGCCAGGATGAGGCTGAGAAGCCACTTGGCTTGTGCTAGGTTCACTCTCCATACTGTTACCCAAACCAGTCTCTTAGCACCACTGGGGAAGCTCAGGCCATACGGTTATGTGGATCCTTGCTCTCTGTAGATGGCCCTCACCCTTCTAATGTGACTGTGATGCTCACATCCAAAGAGGAGAGCACAGGGGTGGAGGCCCTGCAAGACACTACCACAGCCCGGGGCCCAGTCACTGTAGGCTGTAGGACCCAAGTCATGCTGATGATGGGACACACAGACCCTTGGCCTCTGGAGTCCTCTTCTCCAACCCACGACTCCAGTTTGCTCACCAAGAAAGCCTCAGGCCATTCCAGATGAGAGCTTTGGGGGACACACCCCACAGTATACCCCCAAACCAGTAAGGTTTTCTAAGAAGCTGCAATAGCATCAAATCTGAAGACAACAGGACTTTTAAATGTCACTTGGGGTTGTGGGGCAGGAAAAGGCCATTAGATGAGAAGGAATCTGGTTAATGCACACATAGTTATTTCCTTCCTTTAAAATAAATGTATTTTTTAGGTGTATGGGTGTTTTGCCTGCATGTGTATATGTACCCCATGTGCATACATGTGGAGGCCAGAGAGGGCATCAGATCCCACAGGACTAGAGTCACGAATGGTGTGAGTGACTATGTGGGTGCTGGGAATTGAACCCTAGTCCTCTGGAAGAGCAGTGCTCTTAACCACCGAGTCATCTCTTCAGACCCCCAGTCTTGTCTCTTTTTCAAAGTATTATTTTAAAGTGTGTGTGTGTGTATGTACATGTGTGCAGATGCCCAAGACCGAGGTATCTGATCTGCTGGAGGTGGAGTCAGGGTGGTTGTGAGCCCCTGAATGTGCATGGTGGGAACTGAACTCAGGTTCTCTGCAAGAACAGTGCGTGGGCTTCACCTCCGAGCCCTCTCCAGCCTCCTCTTCCATTTTCGCTTTTTCTGAGACAGGGTCTCACAAAGCCCAGGTTGGCCCAACTCACTATGTAAATGAGAAAGATCTTGAACTCCTGACCCTCCCCCTCCCAGTGCTGGGATTCGAGGCAGAGGCATGCACCACCAGGCTGGCCTCCTTTTCTCTGGTAGGCCTTTCTAACCTGTAAGATGCTCACAAGTCCTGTGTTCATGAGGGTGTGGTAGGGCCAGTGTTCACTTGCTTTTCTAGGTTTCAGAATGGGGCTCCCAGGAGCCCAGTTTGGGAAGGCAGGATTTATTGCTGAAAAGCAGCCAGCGTGCTGTGTGTAACCGACGAACTTTCCAACAGGGCATAGCAGCTGCTCTGAGGGTTCCGGAGTTGATTGACATGAGACTTCACGAAGGTTTGTAGCGCTAGTTTTCGTGCTACTTATGTGTGTGAGTGGGTCTCCTGATTCAATGTCTGTGCAACAGAAGAGGGGCTCAGATCCTCTGGAGCTGGAGTTACAGCCAGGTGGTTGTGAGCCACCAGGCGGGTGCTTGGGAGCCGAACCTGGGACCTCTGAAAGAGCAGCAGGTGCTCTTAACCACTGAGCCAGCTCTCCAGGCCCATCTTTAGCACTTTTATATTTTACTTTTAAACTTAAAATAGATTTATTTATCTTTATATATATGTACAGTACACTGTCGCCGTCTTCAGACACACCAGAAGAGGGCAGCAGACCATATTACAGATGGTTGTGAGCTACCAAGTAGTTGCTGGGAATTGAACTCAGGACCTTTGGAGGAACAGTCAGTGCTCTTAACTACTGGGCCATCTCTCCAGCCCTTATTTTTAATCTTTTAAAAGAGAGGGTCGCCGGGCGGTGGTGGTGCACGCCTTTAATCCGAACACTTGGGAAGCAGAGGCAGGCGGATTTCTGAGTTCAAGAGTTCGAGGCTAGCCTGGTCTACAGAGTGAGTTCCAGGACAGCCAGGGCTACACAGAGAAACCCTGTCTCAAAAAAGCCAAAAAAAAAAAAAAAATTAAAAGAGAGAGTCTCAGATATCCAGGATGGCTTTCTCTATGGAGCACTGTCTCTTGTGCACTCCTGCTGTCCCCAACCTGAATTTTCCCACAATGCAGAGCTAGGCAAGTGCTCTACGGCTGAGCTGTTGTACCCACAATCCTAGGGGCATTTTATTTTATTTTATTTTATTTTATTTTTGAGGAGGGAGCTCATGTAGCCCAGGCTGCCCTTAACAAGGATGACTTTGAACTTCTGATGCTCCTGCCTCCAAATCTGAGTGCTGGGTTTTCAAGCCCTGCCACCACTCTTATTATGTAGGTGCTGGGGCTGAGTCCAGGGTCTATCATGTGCTAAGCAAGCACTAGATGGACCAAGCTATATTCACAACCCTTGCTTTTGTTTTCGACATAGGGTCTTGCTATATCCCAGGCTGGCCTTGACCTTCTTATGTAGGTACACTGTCGTATATGCCAGGCTAGCCTTGAGTTCATGTTCCACCTGCCTTAGCTGCCTCATATTCCCAGAGAATCTGGAAGAAGGCCAGCCTGAGCTACAGGGTGGGATCAGATGTTAAAAAAAAAAATACTTTCTTCTCCCTGTGGCCTGACCTTCCTTCCCTGTGCTCTAGAACCTGATATGGGTTTTGTCCTTTAACTTGATCTCCTTAGTTAAGTGACAGTCTACGTGCCTGGCCTCGAGGGATGGCCAGCCAGAGGCCCAGCCGACCTACCTGCATCAGGGCAGCGTTCAGTGCAGCTGGCTTTCGGAAGTGGCAGAGACACATGCGCCATCGCCTTCAGGTGCCTGGCAAGCGTGGGGTGTGTGTATGTTTGTGTGTATGTGTGTGTGTGGAAGGTACTCATCTCTGTGACTTTTAGATCCCTCCTTATCAAAACTAAAAGTATTCAGATATCAGCATTTTTTTATTAAGAAAATGAAGACTACCTTCCTCAGTGGCCTGGGGCTGGTGGGCAAGTGCTGGACCACTCACCAGAGGCCAGGCCTGGGCTCCTTTGTGAGCTTTTTAAGCCTCGCTTCTGTATACGTGACCAGCTGAGAAAGGAAGTTTAGTGCCTTCCACCTCCTTCTGGATTTGGGCCCAGGAGCAGTGCTGAGGTGCTGTGTGCCCACTGTGCCTGGGATGGGCTCCCTGCCTGCTAGGCTTTTGGAGGACTTTGCTCCCCCTCACCAGGCTGCGTGTTAGCATGCCCTGTGGTGTGGCCAGCGAGCATCCCAAGTGCTCTCTGCTAAGCTGCCGTGGCAGAGTCGGCATCCAGCTTTTTCCCCACAGGTCAACTCCAGAAGGAACCTCATGGACTTTGCTGAAGGCATCTGGAGAGAGGTATGTCACAGACATGGCTGCAACCCCCTAAGGTCCAGAGGCCTGAGGGAGTCCTCAAAGCCAAGGCTAGCCCAGTGAGTGGGCTGTGAGGGTCAGAATCCGAGCAGATGTTTCTGTGTATGCAATCCTGCACACAGTCTGGTACCGGCAACTAAAGGAGGGTTGATGTTTCATCACATAGCCCAGGCTGGCCTCAAGCCCAGGACACGCCTCCTGTCTCTCTGCCTTTTGAGTGCTGGGATGACAGATAATGCCACCACAAAACAGGAACAGATAGGATCAAATTGACAAAATCTGACCACAGAAAGCAAGAAAAGACAGGAAGTTCTGATCCCCACAGCAGAGGTCAGGGGACTCCCCAAAGGCCCTGCCAAGCACCATTAAGAGGAGTTTGCCTTAGCAGGTGGTAGTGGTACACATTTGTAATCCCAGCACTGTGGAGTCTGAGGCAGGAGGATATAAAGTTGAAGGGCAGTCAGGGCTACATGAGACCCTGCCTTTTAATGTTTTGGAATGATCTACTTCTGTATGTCTGAGTACTCTGTGACATGTGTGCAGATACAAAGAGGCCAGAAGAGGGGGACGATGGCCTGGAGCTGGCCCTCCAGATGGTTGTGAGCCATCATGTGACCGGTAGGTCTCTCCAGCCCAGAGACCTTGTCTTAAGAAGCAAAACAGGCCAGGTGTGGTGGTGCAGACTTTTGATCCCAGCACTTGGGAGGCAGAGGCAGGTGGATTTCTAGGAGTTTGAGGCCAGCCAAGATTATGGTAGTGAGACCATCTCAAAACAACAAAAAAAACCCCAAACAAAACAAAAGTCATCAACACCACCAGCGGGAAGGTGGCCCGGTGGGCAGGATGCTTGCCTAGCATCCGTGAGCGTCTGGGTTTGACCCTCAGAATGGTCTCTTGATGGGAAGTGAAGGCAGAGGAGGGGCAGGAGTTTCAGGGTCGTCCTGGCTACACAGATGTGTGCAGATACAAGCACACAAACTTGCCACTTGCTCTCGTACTGATGGAGACCCGTCGTTTTGTGCACCTCTGTGTTACATACTATGCTGCTGCTGGGATTTACCCACTGGCTCAGAAACGTCTCTATTTTGTGGTGATGGGAATTTTCAGGCCCTCACACGTAGCCAAACTCTTCAAAAACCTTTGTCGCTAGTTTTTAGATCCTTATGACGGTGACTCGGAAGACACCCCAGGCCATTCCAACTACCGCAGCTACCGCCAGCGTGCCTACCGCCTCCTGGGTGACAGGAACCGCAACTCGCCTTCCTACACACTGAGGAGGTTCAGGACTGCAGAGGAGGCCGGCGTTGAAGATTCGCTCCCTAAGGCTCCAGACCTCACCATGAAGGCTTCCGGCTGGGTCCCTATGACCCCGGAAGCTGATGACGTCGACATGCAGCCTGAGGGTGAACTCAAGACACTGAGCCCCCCAGAGACCAATGTTCGTCCTGGCAGGCTGTCCCCGGCACCAGAGGACTGGAGGATGACAGGGGCTGCTAGCCCCCTCATTCCTGTGGATACCCCAGAGATAGGCAGACAGCCGCTGGGCAGAGCCAGAGCCACCCGGCCACCACCCAGACTCGGGACCGAGCGAGACAAGGGGCCCAGGCTGTCGCTTTCCAAGAGAAAACTGGAGCTCCTACTTGGAGAGCCTGAGAAAATTAAGAGAAAGAAGAAGTACGTGGCCCAGCCCAGGGGCCCGAGCTAGCTCAGGGTAGGGGTATGGGGTTGGCACAGAGCCAGGGATTCACGCCAAACTCAGTGATGAGGGGTAAATAAGTCCCTACCATGTGGCATGGAAATGGGCGTGCAGGGATTCTGAGATAGCTCAAGAGGGTCAGGGCGCTTGCTGCAAAGCCTGGTGACTGGGGTTCAATCCCCAGGACTCACGTGGTAGGAGACCGTCCACATGAACACATAATAGTGTATGTGTGTATGAGTATATGTGCACACACGCGCACACACACACACACACACACACACGAACGATGTAAAAAACATTTTAAAATAGGTTGCAATTCAGGGATGGGTCCAAGTGGCCTTCACTGGGCCTCCTACCCCCACCTCAGGATCTTGTCCCATTCCCTGGCAGTCTGCTTGCCCGTCTCCTGAGTGCTGGATGGAAGGCTGAGGTAGGGGCAGATCCCTTCCTGTTGCTTGTGTGTTCAGATGCTTCTCTGATGCCCGTGCTGGGCCAGCTCTCCATGTCACTGGGAGCAGGGTTCCTAGTGGTCAGCTTGGGCTCAAGCCTGCTGGAGTGCTGGGTTCTCCACAGCTCCAGTACGGGAGCTGTTTTTCCTCAGTTCTGATTTTGCAAGCTTGTCTACTGAACTTTTTCTTTCTGGTAGGTAACCAAGCTGAGTGCCAAGTCTGGTGCTGCTGCTGCTGCTGAGGTCTGGGTCTCCTCTCCAAGACATGTTCTCCCATGGTGGCAGGACAAGGTTCCCAAGTGCAAATAAAAATGGCACCAGGAGGAGGTGCCCGTTCTTGGCAAGACATGTCCACCTCTGGGTGCTGTTGGGGCCGTTTTGGGACTGGTCAGGGGTACTCATCAATGCCCCAGGTGGTTCTGCCAGGGAAGACAATAGGGCTGGTGGCCACTGTCCAGTAAGGCCCCTCTGATTGTTGGAGGGGTTAGGGATGGGGGTGGCACTCTTGGGGCAGAAGTCTAGTTATGGGGCTGGGGCAAGCCTCATGTTCCCTGTGATCCCCACAGACTCAGGCAATATCCTCTGAGGTGTTTGGACACAGCAAGGAAAAGCCATGGGTGCTGTGTCACCTGCGCCCACCCCTAGGTGTTCTTGGTGGAGAATGTTGGCTTGGGGCTCTTCTGTTGGGGACTGCCCAAGGGCTGGGTCACTTCTCCTGCAGAGGAACCTGCTGTGTCTTCTCCTGAGAAAGGAGGACAGTGCCTCTGTGCTCAGGAGACCAGTCTAATTGTCACCCTTCCTGTGGGGCAAGGCCACTCTCTCACTACAGGATGGTGTGGAAATGAATTGGTGGCGGGGCTTGTGTCTGAGAGACAGAAAAGGTCCCCAGCGGATGGGGTGTCAGAGAGCCAAGCCTTAGTGTCTGTCAAGAACAGAGTTGCTGCTGGGCCTCAGGTGTGAAGTGCGGCATTCCTGGCCTCACCTTGCTGCTTCTGCATCTGTGACCACAGTGACAAAGGGGAGGTGGGCTGGAGTGCAGCTGGCCCCGTGGGGTGGGACACAAGACTGAGCAGAGCGGCAAGAGGCAGGAGCCCGTCATGCTTAGTGTTTTATTTAATAAAACCAGCCATCCATTCGGTCAGCCCTCGGAACCCACGCACCTCACCTTTCCCACCCAGTTTCCCACCGCAGCACCTTTCATCTGGCCAACGCTAACCAACCACTTGCTTTTCACATGTCTGTCAAATCTTCCAAATGTTTAAGGATGAATGAATGTTAAATATTGAATTTTACTATTCCAAAAAGAGGATTCGCAAAGTTTAGCTTTACTCAGTGCACAGAACTGCGACTCCACGCTCACAGCTTTACTCGGTGCACAGAACTGCAACGCCTCGCTCATAGAAGCTTCGAGGATCTTCCTTTGTAGCAATTTCAAAGTCCACGGTGAAGATGAGGTCTGCCCGGGTGAAGTTCAGGTAGACGGGTAAAGTCACCTGTGGGACAGACAGAGGGACTTACTGTTCATCAGTTCTGGGGACAAGCGCCTGTGGGGGTCCAGGGCTGTGGCACAGTTGTTTCCATACAAGTAGAGTCCCAGCATGGCCCAGGCAGAGCCGAGGAGGAGGCCATGACACTTACCACATTGGCCTTCTTCTCGGAGCTTGTCTGCTTCACCCAGCGGAGCTGTGTGAGGGGCAGGACTGTGGAGATGGCGTTGGAGAGCGACAGCTTGTTGTTGCTGCACGTGGCCCCTTGGAGCTTCAGACCTGTAAGGCGATGACGAGATGGGGCTGAGGTCAGGCAGTCTCACAGCTCAGTTTCCAAGACACTCGGAGGCTCAGCTGGGCCGCTCTCCCCAGACACTGGCAGCTAACTTATTTGGAAACGGGTCTCACAGAAAGGCCAGGCTGAGAGCTTACCTGTGACCCCAAAGCTGCAGGCATCAAGGGTGGCACTCTGGGAGGCAGTGACATTGACTTCGAGGCAGAGTTCCTCCAGGGACCAGCTGTTGGCTTGTGCCACATACTGTCTGGTGGCAGTGATGTAGGCCTCAGGCACAAACAAGCCACCCAGGCACACGTGGATGTTCTGTGGAAACAGCCGGGTGGAAAGGAGAGCAGGTCAGGCCTTGGCTGTCCCTAGCGCCATCTTAAAGGACACTTTTCCACCCAAGTCCAGGACAGCCAGTGCCACGCCTGACCCCACCCCTGCCTGCCCCGGGGCATGCATGCCCACCTTCAGTTCCTTGGCACCACCCGATGCAGCTGCTTGGGAGATGTTCTGCAACTGTTTGATCCTCTCGCTGAAATCTGACACCCACTGGATCACAGTCATGCCTGCGGGCACTGTGTAATGGGACCAGCTCCGAGGCAAGATCCCTGCAGGAAGGGAGAGAGACTCAGGCCTCAGCATCAGTTCTGTCAACTCCCCTTCAGCAGAAGTGGCTTCCTGGCCGTGCCTGGCATTCTGTCCACAACCGGGAAGGCCCAGGGCACAGTTGTTTCAGTAGTGTGGGTGCATGCTTAGAGCACACTGCTGCAAGTACACTGTGTGTCTCTGGACTGGGCCCCTGTCCCAGCCCTCTGTCCTCGTCACTGCGCTAATCCTAAAAGTCATAGAAAACCACAGGCATGGCTAAGACCCTCCCACTACTGAGGAAGCCTGAAAGAGACACTCGTGGCCTGGGGCCTGAAGCTAGGTGTGGTCAGGGCTTCCGCGCCAAGCTCCCTGACGCAAACCCGGTCTTGTACAACCATCTTGCACCTTTCACCAGCTCGTTGATGAGCGTGCGCAGGTAGTTTGTCTGCTTCTTCTTCCCCTCGCACACTTGAACGACATCGGCGAGGTCTTGGCGCACATCTTGGAGTAACTTGGCCCCCATCTTCACCTCTCTCTCAAAGAACCTAAACAAAGGATCCTAAAACCAAAGACGAGAGGGTTAAGGATACCAGGAAGCACCACCGGAGCCTCTGACCAGATAGAAAGAGTAACTCCCTGTGCCCCTCGCTCTCGGATGACAGTTGGAAAACAGTTTACTTAGAGGTGGACACTACCTTGATGTTCTCCACGGTGCGCTTCAGGGGGCTCAGCGTCTGTGGGATGAGGTGCAGCCAGTTCGATGCCGTGGTGTGCAGCGTCCTCATCCAGGCTGGCCGCCCATCGGAGGTGGAGTCCGTCCTCGTCTTCTTCTCGGTCTCCGCGTAGGCCAGGTCATCCTCATCCTCCAGCATCTGCATCTTCAGCATCTTGCTGATCATGTCCACACCTAGGCCGGTCACAGGGCAGGGAAGGTAGGGAAGGAGGAAGACGTCAATGTCAAGGCCCAATGGTGCATGGCCATTCGCTCACCGCAGCAGGCTGCACTCGGTGCCACACACGATCTAGAACAGACCAGAGCCCGGTGAGGAGGGAAGCAGGAAAGCGCTGGCTCAAGTCTATATCACAGGGTGATGAAGACGGAACCAGACCAATGGCCTGGTCGTGTGCTGTGAGGCTGTTCCCAGCCCATCCACACAACCGTGGGCCTCAGAAGCCTCAACCTGAATGCAGAACCTGTCGGGGAACGTTTGTGATGGTGGCTGGGACTCCTCTGAACTCTGCCCACACAAATGCTGTTTTGGTAACAACAATCCAGTTGTTACCAAAAGCACACTGGTGCTTGGCCTGTCCTCACACTGGGATACCAACGGCCAGACTGCTGAGCTGCACTGCTTTCTGGACTGGCAAGCTGGAGAAGCTGGACAATGACTCTGGTTCAGGACAGCGTTGATGGGATACAAGATTTAGGAAACTGCTTGGGCAAGTGACAGCCGTGTGCTGGAGAGGCTGCATCCAACCCAGTCGGGAAGTGCTTAGCCTCCAGGCCTCAAACCTTTTCATACTAAATACCCGTGACAGCCGCTCCCCTCCACTGTCCGTGGACAGCATCCCCACCTTGCCTCACAACTTCTGAACCCCAGCACTAGCCCTTGCCCATATTCTCAGCTTCCCATTTAAGTCAGATTAGGCCACCAGAAGGAGGACAAGGGGAACCAGGCTGGTACGCTGCTGCTGCTGCTGTTATCTAGCTTACCCTAGAACTCTCAACCCTATTGCCTCTAGCATGTGGTGCTGGGGTGCCAGGGATGGATGAGTCACAAAGCCTGATTCTAATTGGTTGTAGAGCCTGTGGGGCTCACTCTCAGCTCTGCCGAGCTTGTGTCAGGCTCTGGATTCTACCCTCAATGTTGTGAGAAGTAAACAAGATAAAAACTGACTTACACAAGGTGTGTTGTGTTGTTTGAGATGTAGCCTAAGGCATGCTGTGTAGACCGGATGTTAACTCCACAATTTCTCTGCCTTTGCCTCCAGTCTAGTGCATAGGCCTGCATCAAGCCCCAATCAGTGTTTCCAACCCTTGAACTAAAGCTAGCTCTTAAACCCCGTTCTCAGGACTCCCTGGAACAGAACTGTAAAAGGCCACGGAGGTGAAGAAGCCCTCCCAGCAGTCTCAGGGTGGGCATGGCTCCGGGAGTGAGGAGACTCACTACCCACCTTGGGTGGTAAGCAGGACCTTTTC